ATCGCACGGGTGAAAGACTAGTTATTATTTATCCCTAATAATTTGCATGCTGACGTCAGCCATATGCCCCTATCATTACTCCCTCACAAATCAATAAATCAACGTCTCAGCGACCGTCCACTTGCCTAATCATTGACTTCGTGAGTTTTTCTTTCAATTTTCAAAAAAAACAAAAGTTTCTCTCTAAAGTTTTGATTATTTTGTAGTGTAATTCAAAATAAACTTTAGAGAAAATTATAGAAAATTTGGAGCTATTGTTTTATAGATTTCTAAAATAAAGCCAATCTTGTATTTAAAAAGTCACTAATAAATGTTTTGATTATCTATATTTATCTTCTTCTTTTTTACAATTTGATTTTCTAATTTCAAGAGTATATGCTCTCAAAGATTTTCGATAACTCACTTACCATCAATTTCAAGATTTATTTGACAAGGCATTGTACGATCCATTCTAGGTGTGTCTCAATTAGGTTCAATTCAAGTCCAGTAACGAATTTAGGATCAGATAAAAAAAAAAAAAAATTACCCTCGAAAATGTAAATGGGTTGGGGGATTGGATCAGCCTAGTCCCCTTGAATTCGTCACGGCTTGAGTCAATATACATCTATATTTTTCGAGGGTTAAAATTTCGATGAAACATAACTTAACCTATTAAAAAGGTGAAAAATTTTATCAGTACTAAATTTTGAACCCTCAAAAAAAGAAGTGTCAATATTTGATTGGAAAAGCAACACATTTGGTTTCTTTTGGTTCGACCTCATGCAGACCGGCCGGTTTATAATTGGCAGTGCATAAATAGAGTGTCTCTTCAGTTTCAACTCAGAATATCGCTGTCCTAACGTCCTTTTGAAGATCTGCATTTTTCTCGGAAAATCAGAAAATTTCATTCTTATCTCAGAGAAAATGGTACGAGGAACTCTTGAAGTCCTCCTTGTCTCTGCCAAAGGCCTAGAGAACACCGATTTTCTCAGTAAGTTCCCATTGAAATTCTCCTTTGACGGAGGTTTACTTGCAATTAACTGATCTTCTCTTCTTTTTTTTTTTTATGATCTTTAGATGCCTTGACTTTATTGATATAAATTATGTCAATCTGTTTGAACTTTGAATTAATCATTTTAGATCTATAATTTAGAATCGATCGATTAAATTTATGAAGATCGTGTGATTCAATTGATTTGATGATTTCTGATCAGGTAATATGGATCCCTATGTGATCATCACCTGTCGTACTCAAGAGCACAAAAGCAGTGTTGCATCAGGTTGAGCCAATTCAGCGAGATTTTTATTACATAAATTTCGAACAAGAAATGATTTTAAAAAATTTGCAGGAAAGGGATCCGATCCGGAATGGAATGAGACTTTTGTGTTTGCTCTTTCCGATGATGTTCCTGAATTATCGATCAAGATTATGGACAGCGATAACACCTCGGATGACGACTTTGTCGGGGAGGCCAAGTAAGTAATCATTAATGGCATGTTTCAGTATGTTTGACTAGACTCCACTGAAATCGATTAGATTAAGGAATAAAGACATATAAGAATGTGATATTTGCCCGTTCACAAGAAATCAAAATCTTGTCGATGATGTATCATTATGGGCCTGTTTGGCAGGACTTTTAAAAAATCCAAAAAGCTGTTTTCGATACTAAGAAGCCATTTTTTTTAACATATTTGAATAATTTTTCTGTAAGTGCTTTATCGGGCTAAAATAGTTTTTAAAGGAATTTGATCTAAGCAGAAGTCCCTGCCAAATGGACCCGTATATCCAAGTTTTGAGCCATTGAGGTCGGAAAAATTTCCGAATCTGATTTTGTTGTTTAACAATCTTCATACAGGATTCCACTTGAGGGACTTTTTACTGAAGGAAGCATACCCCCAACAGCATACAATGTGGTTAAAGACGAAGAATATTGTGGTGAGATCAGAGTGGGGCTAAGATTCACACCCGAGGCAAGTCGACAACTTCAACTTCCTACATTTCAGTTTTCTACATGTAAAGTAATATATTTTCCGCAAAAAAGCCAATATATAGAGAGAGATCTCTATCTTCATTTGGGGTTTCAAGATTCACTTTATAATCATACGAGAAATAGAGAACACGAGAATTTATATCGAAAACTCCAAAATCAAAGAAACAGATATACACGAAAAAGCACGAAGTACTTAAACATCCCCACTTGGCGTGCGAATATCAGTTTAAACTACAAAGAATTCCAAGTTTCACCATAGCCATTAAACTCATTCTTACAACATTTACGACAAGAAAATTCAATTCTAGTTTAGCGTGGGATGAAGGGATGAAAATGAAAGTTCCTATAAACCTCCCCATGTAAAACTTGAATCGGTCCATATGTTTCATTTCTCTTTTCCTATTGTCGTGATGTTTGCAGGAAGGCCGTGAAGAGATGTTTGATGCCCAACTGCGGGGGATGGAAAGAGTCTTCATATTGAAGTTGATTTGTTACATATCGTTGGCTATGAATGATTTAATTTTTATATTGATCTTTGTGAGAACTACACAAATAAATTGGCAATCCCACCAAGTACTGTTTGATGTCGTTTTGGAGTGGTTTGTTTCAGACATGATTTATGTTGTTCGTGGTTGTACTAAATTTTAGTTATAATATGGGATTTTGCTTTTTGGCAATGAAAAGAAACATATTAAAAAGTCTTTGAATTCGGAAAAAAAAATACATTTTTCTTATAAAAGTCTGCGTATAGTTTAAGATTTACGGCTTTGGCGTAGAATTAAATTTATCGACACAAATAACATTAAGCTCATGTTGGTTTGGATTAAAATCCAATTAGAATTTCAAGTCAAAGATAACAATTAATTTAATCTACACATTTTATGGAGCCGTAACTTTTCAACAACACATTTCATCATTTTTTATCGAAATCTACTAAAAAAACTTGTTTTAATTTCTATCAAATAGGGGCTAAGGGGCTAACTAAAGGAAAATTTGTTTTCAATATTGTATCATAGTACAATTACGTTTTTAAATAACGACCAATTATTCACTAACCCGATGGAATAACAAAAATGAGATTTTTTTTTTCCTGCCAGAAAAAATAGTCCAGTCCAGCTTCCTCATGGCAGCATGGGAACGGAGTGGCATTGTCTACAGTTCCACCACACCACACCCCTACCAACCGAGCACAGACTCACTCATCTATTATTGACCTTAAAATTTGTATGATCGAGTGGTCAATAGAATACCATCCACCACCTCATCCACCTAGGTATCACTTGTATGATGAAACACACTGTTATGGTGAAAATGTCATTTACTTGAAGAAAAGTTCAACGACTATTAGCACTCCAACGGTTAAGTAACGGAATAAAATGAGTGTAAGAGAGATGGGTGAGAGTATGTCTCTATTATAAATGGAAATTGGTTAAAAAGGGTTAGTAGACCAAATCCAAGAAAAAGTCAAGAGGTTGGGTCCAATTCAATTGACATTTGACAAATCTGCATGATTCTATTCTTCATTTTAGTTATTGAAGATTTGGTTTTGGTTTTATTTACTCTTTAGGTGTCAGCTCTCCTAAGGTGCCCTTCCAGAATCATAATCCTAGCGAGTGTGGGTTTAATAAATGTCGAAATGGTGTCCGACTCTTGATTAACTTGTACAAATTTCTGATTTTGTGCTTGAAACTTTTTGCTGAGCAGATTCCTGATGTTAGGATCCCGTTAGGATTGATATCACATGTTGTGACGCCAATCGCCAAATTGAGATATTGAAGTTATATGGAAAATTTTAGTGAAGTATTTGATCAACCAAAAGAATAAAGAAGACAAGAATATGACAGAGAAATTAAGAGATTTTATTGATTCAAGAATGATGAAGAAGAGAGAAAATTACAATAGATCCTATAATTCTAGTAATTTATTTTCTCGCATATACTTATTACAAGAATTGTATAGAAGAGCCTAATATTTATAGGGAACATGTAGGGGACATTCAAACCCTTTTGATAGAGTTGTTGATGAAGTAGGATGCCAAAAGATCGAGTCCAAAACAAAGTAGGAGAGAAAAATCACGATCAGGTTACTGTAGCAACGCTCAGGCACTACTGTAGCAGCGCTCAGGCGCTAGGTTTCGAGTTAATATTTCAAAACATGCTTCCAAAGTGTTTTTCTCCATTTCGAACTTTTCTTCTAGTCTAATATTAATTTCCAACTCCCAATAGGTATCCAAAATAGAATTTCAACTTGATATAGGACTCTAATAGCATTCCAAACTTGAATTCTTTTTGACGTTCACTACAATTAGAATTCTTCAATACTTCAAACAAGGAATTCGGGTCACACCCAAATTCTAACAATCTCCACCTTGACACGAATTCCACCAAGGAATGAACGGCTTCTTCAATAATAACCAAAAAATTAATTTTTTCAACCAAACACAAGATACTCCACCTCTTCCTGCAGAATTACCTCAGATTCCAAAAAAATCATAACGATTTTGAATTAACCAAAATGGGCTATAACA